GAAATTAGAGTAGCAAACATGTGATAAATTGCCTCACAAACAAGGAGAAATTTAATGGTAGCAATCTTATGCTAGGAGGGTTAAGCGCTCGACTGGCATCAATGGGAGGAGAAGGAAGAGAAGGAAAAGGCGATTGGAATGTGGGAAGTTCAAATTAAAATGTTTTTCTTACTATTCAAGTATTTGGCTAAGTTCAAAATTAAATCAGGCTTTTGTTATTTTTATTTGACTTACTTAAAAACAGCCCCCAAAATCCATAACCTGGTCCCACGCCCACTTTTCAAGCCCATCCAACTTCAACGGTGCTAACTCTCCCCCTCACTCTCTCCCTCCATGTGCTTCATTTATCCCATACCCCCTCATCTTCTGTTAGGTACTCGAATACAAGAACCTAACAAGAACACTATTTTGCAATACCAAAGAGTAATTACAAGAACCGATAGCCTTTCGAGAGGGCTATCTCTCTCCCAAAGAACTCTTTCAAGTTCCTTACCAAAATACAATTCTCCAAGATATCTTCCTCCTCTCCCTACCACCCTTATTTATAACCACTCTCCTAACTAATTACCCTTCTAATTACCATACTACCCCATTATACTAACAAACTAATATTCCTCTATACCCCTAATAGGGCTCTCACATATACCCCTAATAGGACTCTCACATCTTCCCCCTCTCTCTCTTCCTCCAAACTCTATTGCCGCCCTCAAGATTTTATTTTAAACTAATTCTTATAGCAGATGACAAGATTATTTTTTTAAAAAGTCTTATTCTTTAAATTTATCTATAAAAATAACAACCTTACAATTTTTTTTGATGGGGATGTTAAAATAAGAGACTATTTTATTTTGAACTATCTCATATTAAAATTAAAATACTATAGAAAATTGTATTTACTTTTAAGTTACATATTAAAATGAAAAAGAAATATCTGATATTCAATTAGCCATATTTAATTATAGCATCCCTTTTGTAATTACAGCTTAGATTTTCTCATATCCAGGAGAAGTTTTTTATTATTTTTTTTTGTAATACGTTGGATGGGTTCTCCCTTTTGTAGCATTTCATATCATCAATGAAATTGTTTTCTATCTAAAAATAATTAGTCATATTTAAGTAACAAATCTCAATGAAATTGTTTTCTATCCAAAAACAATTAGCCATATTTAAGTAACAAAAGTGTTTAGGGATGGTACTCATTTAGAAATTTTATAGGGCAAATACATTTTTGGTCCCTAAGGTTAGGTGTCTATTTAGTCCCTGAAGTTTCAAAATGAACACTTTTGGTCCCTGAGGTTTGAGGTAGGTGTCTACTTGGTCCCTGAAGTTTCAAAATGAACATGTTTGACCCTTGAGGTTTAAAATAGGTATCAACTTGGTCTCTGAAGTTTTAAAATGAACACTTTTGGTCCCTGAAATTTGAGAAATAGTTCAAAATGGTCCTTGATTTTTTTTACCGTTAATTAACTAAAATTAAAATGACGTGGCAAATTGCAATTAAATTGTTCATTGTAGTTGCTGATGTGGCAAATTATATTAATTAAATAATATATGTGTAGGTGATGGTATTTTCTCTCCCCTTTCCTCATCTCTTCCTCTATCTTTCTCCTACCCTTTTCCGGCGACCATGTCTTTGCTGCCGCCGTCCACCATTCATACAGGACATATATCATTTAATTAATATAATTTGCCACATCAACGACTACAATTTAATTGCAATTTGTCACGTCATTTTAATATTAGTTAACTAACAGTAAAAAAAAATATATCAGGGACCATTTAAAATTATTTCTCAAACTTCAGGACCAAAAGTGTTCATTTTAAAACTTCAGTGATCGAGTTGACACCTACTTTAAACCTTAAGGACCAAAAGTGTTCATTTTAAAATTTCAGGGACCATGTAGACACATACCTCAGACCTCAGGGACCAAAACTGTATTTTGCCGAATTATATGTCATAATAACATAATATATGAAATTGATGTTGCCCATTTTCAATCTTGGGATGGAGAGGTGGAAGTGCTTTAGAATATTTCTGTTCTAATTGTAACATTCGAAAAAAAAATCTGTATATATATATAAATATATATATATATAAATATATATATTTAAATTATTATTTTTATTTAGTTGTTTTCTTTATTTTCTAAAAAAAAAATTTGTTTTAAAAATTATTTTTTAAAAGATAATTTGCTCTTAGAATTTGAAAAAAATAAAAAGAAAGAGTTTTATTAAATCTTTATCTTTTTATTATTCTTTTTAAATAAGGATTCATTAGGGTTTGTTATAAAAGCCCTAAACCCTAGGTTAAACTATTAGACCTAGTTTTCTCTCAAACAAAAAAAGAAAAGAAAAAGAGTTTTGGTATTTTCTCTCAAAGATCGGTAAGTTTTTCTTCCTCATTGTTTTAGTTTTATTTTTCTTGATTTGTAGTTTTTTAATTCAGTTTATTGGGAAAAGTTTTGAAGTCTTTGTTTTTCAGAATAAAAGATTTTAAGGACTTTTGCCCTAAAAATTTTCCAGAATTTTTGGTTTGAATCTTTTTGTTTATGAGATTGTTTTTGGGCTATTTTGAGACTCTTTTTGCATAAAAAGTTTACCTATTTGTATCTTATAAATTATAGTTTGTTGTTATGATTTTTACATGAAAAATTATATGTTTTTACCAAGTTTTAGAGGTTTTCTATATGGTTTTCAGATCTTATTTTTCCTATAAAAATTAGTTAATTGTTAATTGTTTTATGGAAATTTCTTGGAAGTTTTATTTTATAAAACAGAAAATTTTTCAAATTTAAAATCCCCAAATTTTCAATTGTTTAGAAGGTTTTTAAGCTGGTTTTTTTGAGAAACTTTTTGTAAATTTAGTTCGTATTGATTTATATTGATTATTGTAATTTTAAAGGTTGTTATGGTTGATTTTAGAGGCTTTATAACCTAGTTTTCAGATCTGGTTTTGTAGCCCCAAATTCATACTTTCCTAATTATTTTACATAAAAAAGTGTTTTGAATGAGAAAATTGGGTAGATAAGATTTGGGTTGGTAATTGGTTGAATTTTAAATCCTTGGATAGGATTTAAGAATTGATTTTGGATATTGGTTGTTTCTAGGGCTCTAAGTTGACAACTACAGTTAATTAGATTTGTAGGATTTCTGAGAGAGGTAAGTAATTTGCCATATCCCTTCGAAAAGTGTTGTAAGTAATTTGTCATACTCCTTCGAAAAAGTATTGTAAGTAATTTACCGTATCCCTTCGAAAAGTGTTGTAAGTGATTTGTCATATTTCGAAAACTAAAATGTATTTTGGATTTGATAGGAAGATTTGAAATTGATATCTTGCATATGAAATTGAAGTTTTATAATGGATTTGAAAACTAATTTGGCAATTCATATTATGTTTATTTGCAAAGTATTTGAAGTATTCTTATATGATTTGTTAAAGTTTTGTTTAGATTTATTTAAAGATTTGAAATTGATATTATGTTTATTTTTGAAATATTTGAAATCATGTTTCGAGGATTGATAACGCTTGTTTTAAATTATTTCAATGTTTTGAATTAATTTAATATTGAAAGTAAGTATTTGTTTTCATTTTATTTGAAAGATATTTTGATTGATTTGATAAGGCTATCCGGATATGCCATGATTTTGTTTTGAGGAACGTTTTGCTTATTTGGGGTAGTAGCCTAATTTGGAATTGACAGATTTTTGTTCTGGCTTATTTGTGGGATGACACTTTTGTGGTTTGGCATTCCTTGGGAATGAAGATTCATGTGTGTGTTATTCATTCACATGGTCTCACACTTAAGTAACTCTGTTCTGGCCGATATTATTTCGACAACTCTGTTCTGGTCGATATTAATTCGACAACTCTGATAGAAGCTTCTGATTAATTGGTGTTACCGACGGGTAACCACATATGTTCTGTAGGCTACCCAAATAATGCAACCATCCACTCTGATTTTGAAAGTATGAATGAATGAAAGATTGTTTTGAATGTTTGAATGATTTAGTTATTCAAAAGTTTGAAAGTTGTACTAAGTGTTTTAGAATGAACTTTGAAAGTTTTGATTGAAAGAAAGTTTATTTTGAAGGATTTGAAGTTTGATCGAATTAAAGTTTGTTTTGAAAGAATGAAAGTTTGTTTTGATTGACTGGAAATTTTATCTTATTTGAAGACTTTGTTTTCGAAAATCTAGTTTATTTTTGAAAGTTTTGAAAATTGTATTAAATATTTTTAAAGGACTTTAAAAGTTTTGATTTGTTCGTATTTTTGTTTACGATGTTTACGAATGTTTTGAAAGGAAAATGAATTTTGAAATTCGATATGGAAATTGCTTATTGAGTATTTTTGTACTCATTTTTTTCTGTTTTTCTAAATGTTTTCAGATGAAGGTTCAAGTGACTGTTGAGATAGTGATTGAGGAATAACGTTCTGGCATGAGGAGTTGAAATCTTTAGTATTTTCCATTGTTTTTAGCTTATGAGAACTTAGTTAATTCTGGTAGTTATTCTTTGGCTTTATTATAGTGTAGGTTTTTTTTTGTGTCAAAGTTGGACTTGTCCTTATCTTTTGTCATAGTATTGTATTAAATAAAGAAGTATTTCCGTTAATTTAGTGTTTAGTTGTTTACGCTTCCGCATTTTGTTAGAATGATCGTATTGGAAAATACGGGTTGTTACACTAATTTTGAAGTTAATTAATCTTATTTTGTTAAACTCCAAATTTTGGTGCTTTCATTGCTGATGCTGCTGTCTCCAGTTGTAAATTTGAACTATTTCATGTAATTTTTTTTTTAACTCAATCAGCAGTGTTATCTGGGTTATTTTTATACAATCATCACTAGTTTTTCTTGCAAAGCTTTAGGATATTCATGTATAAATATCTTATATTTTGCATAAAATTGTATTCATTGAAAAAGCTTCCACCTTAATTGTGATAATCATTTTTCTTATTAGGCGGTATTGAATGTCAATTTCTAATAAGGTTTTTGTCATTTAAGGTTGAAAGTGGTTCCGGATCTGTTAATGACGTGGCAAGCACAATGATGCAAAAATTTTGGGATTCAGCACTTGCTTTAGAACCACCTGATGATACTGATACTCATAGGTATGAGTTCTCCTTAGAAATTACGATGCTATGCAGTTGTCTGGTTGTTTCTGGCTGTAAACCTTGGTGAGAATTTTGCAGTGAAATGTCTGCATTCATGGCTTCTGAAGGGATACTAAACTATCCATCTCTAGGTCTTGGAAATTCATTTGCGTTTAAATTTGAGGATCTGAAGGGTCGGGTACATCGTGTAAATTGTGGTGAGTGCTGGTAATTTTTTATAGAGATGATTTTGCAGAGCCTTTATATATATATATATATATATATATTCTTTACGATATGAAAAATCAATTGTGGTTTATCTGGGCCTTGGGGTGGGCGCGGGTGCCCCTGGGTATAAGAGAGCAAAGCTCCAACTCTAGTTATTAAAAAAAAGAAATTTGTTGTTGGTTTAAGGCCTTTACTTTAAGAAACCATAAATATCAAAAATCCCGTTCACTTGTATATAGTCTTGAGGGAAATAAATTCCTCATCTATCTCAAATTCATTGACAAAATTTAGCCCCTCTGGGAGAGAGGAAAGAAAGAACCTAGGAGATCAAATTCCTTTTCCTCTTACCTATTGGAAGAAGGTATATCCTCCTTTAACTCTCTTTCCCACTTACACTTGTGTCTCCAACCTTTCAAAACTTTTACTCTAACTACCATCTTTGGCAATAATTTTATGCGAGCTAGTGGTAGTAACAATAGTTATAGGTCTAAAAGCCTTCACCCTCGTCACTTTTCTATGCAACCTAGCATCGAGATCTCCAAGAAATATTTGTTTGTTTGTTCTTGATGGTGTTCTGAAGTTAAAGAAAACCTAAGATCTGAATTTCGGCTGGTACTCTGCTTAGCTATTCGGCAACTATTCCAATTGCTTTGAGAAAAACATCAATATTTTCCTTCCCATTTTGTTTTCCTCTTCTCTGTATCTCTGTTTTCCTTAATGCATAGTTCCAAAGGATTTTATCAGAAGGTGCTTGGGAAGGGTTAAGTGGGGATTTGAATGAAAATTCGATTTGGGGTTGGGAATTGGGCAGGGCAAGTTCTATTGATCTAGCCAACTAGTTCTAACATGCATCCAACTTTTATGGCACTAAACAATTATTTTCCTTGGACCTCTTTAGCCCACTTTTCAAACGTTAGTGGAGCGTGACCTAAGTTCTAACTATTATGAATGGACAGAAATGCTGCCATATACTTGTGGTAGCATTCCGGAAAAATCTATTGGGGTAAAAAAGATCAATACTGTGTAGATCATTTATGATTCCTTTTAATACCTCAGTTCTCATGAAAGTACTTTCTCATTACTACTGTTGATGGCCTTCATTTTATGTTAGCCTTTCTTAGGTCCGCATTCAAGGTTATTGAAATAATGAAACTCTTAAATCTGTCCAGAGAAACAGGTCGAGTAGAGTCATTTCTATTTTTCTCATCTTGTTGCATTTAACCCCTTTTGTACCTGCCATCGAAAGCTGAACCAGTAGATCTTCTCTTAATCATATTTTTGCTAGGAGGGTAACTCCAACCTTCCATTAACCTACATCATGAGGACGCGAGCGAACACTACATATGGTGTTTTCATTGGCGAGAGTCTGAAAGCATTAACCCTGGTGAATTTGGTTTAAAGCTTTAAACAAGGGATAAAAAAATATAGGTGTGGAAAGTTGTGTATATAGTGATGACATGGTTAATTAATGGATTTCTATTTACATGATAATTCTTTTTTTGGAAAATATCTTTTTTAAGCCTCTCCGAGAAATATAAATTATAAGATAGATTCTATCCAATGAATCAACAATTTAACAATTGTTTCTTTAGGCACTGAGACCTTAGAGGAGTTGGTATCTGTTGTCATGCAAAGGGTTGGTGCTACTGACAATGCCAGTCGTCCTCTGCTTTTGGTACGATTCTTGCTACTTTCTCTGAGTGATTTTTTTTTGTGAGTTTGTTGCATAAATCAACAGTTTTGTTTCTTGTACCAGTATGAAGATGATGAAGGTGATAAAGTAGTTCTTTCTACGGACGGTGACCTCGCTAGTGCTGTAAACCATGCTAGATCCACCGGACTAAAGGTAGTAGTTTAGTGTTCTTTGTTTGGTATTATCCTTTTGTGACATCATTTTTTCTTGTTTTTATTGTCAAAATCTTTTGGTTCTCCGAACGATTATTGTGGTTTTTTGTGCTACGTTACTGGGATGTTTAATCGGTCATAATTCAGAAGTACCACTTTAAATATGAGACACAATTGCGCCAATAAATGAAATGTACAAAAAGGGATAAAGGTTAAGGCAAGGAGTTAAAAAAGGTTATCCAGTTGGTAATAATATGAGAGACCTCCTATTAAGGATGTGTATTTCAGGAAGGAGAGGGCGCGTGGTAATTTAGTGTAGGTCGAGTGAGGTGGGATAGTGGCAGACCTGGTTTACTTATAGTAGGGTTTTTGGGGTATTATGCATGATGTATATATCGGCTGTAGAAATAGGGTGGGCATCTTTTTGGCTAGTTTCTTGGTAAGGTTTTGGAGAGGTAGGAAGCTCTCATATTTCTTGGCTCTGTAATTCTCTCTCTGTTTATCAATAATATAGGAGCGGTTCCTATTATACTAGAAGAGATTGAATAACTAGAGAAGTGTTTAGATAAAGAACACCAAGAGGATGGAACAAAAATTGAACTTCTAATATTTTTCGAATTCCCTAAAAATCGATGGACACGTACTATTTTTCCTCATCAAAAATTTTCAAAGAAATGCATAAGAATCTCCCTGTAGCAGATGCAGTTTTACGACAGCTTTCTTTCCAGTCAATTTTTCTGGTAGCTATTGGTTTATTTATGTCTATTATCTTTGTTTGTTTGCTAGTTTTGTGTAGGCCAGCTAGTTTGTTTGTTGCCATTACTAGCTAATGAGTAGTTAGCTGAAGCTGAAATTAAGTAGCCTTTTATGTATTTGGAATATTTTAGTCAGTTTTATTTTAGCAAAACTAGTCTACACCAGAGTGGTGTTAGAGCATTTCGGTTCTCTAATTTTATTAAATTTCAGAATCCCATTTATGTTCATGCTGAAATCGAAGGAATTTGTTTTATAATAGACTGCTGAATTTTCAGTTTTTACTTTCTATTTTCATGTTTTTATTCCTTGGAAAACACCTTGCAGGTTTTAAGGTTGCATTTGGATTTTCCCGAGTCGATCCAGCAAAGAGAAGCTCCAATTGATGCAACATTAGACCAGAAATATGGATCATTGCCTATATATTCTGGTGCATTGGCTGCTGCCATGGTTCTAACCAGCATTGGTGTATTGATCTACTTGAAGCGCTCTAAGATGTGAAGTTAAAAGACAAAAATTATTGAAATGCTCGTAAATTTCGGCAGAAGAATACATTACGGTGTCCAAGTTCTTAAAGAAACCGAGATAGAAAAGGGAAAGAGTTGCAACACCAGTAGCGTTTTAGTAATAAAATGAAAAGGAAAACTCGAGGACTGGTTAAGGTTCTTTTTGCTCCTCCGAAAAAGAACATGGAGGAATATAGATTTCTTCCCATTTGATCTGTTAGAAAAAAACTGAGTGGCATTCATAATGCTAAAAAGATATCATGGGAGTACCATCCTCTATTTATATTATGGTTGTGTATTTATAAATAATGTTTTAAAATGTCAGTAGACTACATAATTTGTAATATCCATACTCTTGTAATTTTTCTCTTTTCAGTAGGGGTGTAAATATGTCGGTTCGGGTCGATTTTCCGTCAAAACCGATCCGACCCGACTCGAAAATGTTCGGTTTTTGTTCGAGTTGGGTCAGTTTGCATTTTTTTTTCCTCCTCTTTTGCTCTTCTTCAATCTAGGGTTTTACTGATCTTCAACTCAAACAGAATGAAAAAATGGTCTCAGAAGCTCGGAAGCAAACAAGAGAGAGAAAGATGAAAGCAAAATTATTTTATGTAATCTCAAACCCACCCTCCAAACCTTCAACATCATAACCCACCTTCAAATCTTCCATCAAAACCCACCTTTAAAATACATCAAAACCCACCAAAATACATCAAAACTCACCTCTAACGTAAAAAATAGAGAAATCCATCCAAACCCACCTTCAAAATCAAAAGAAGATAGTAACCTACGCCTCGTACATTCTTAATGCAATGCCATTAAGCAGCAGGAACGATATTTAAAACGTATATGCAAGATGGACGGAATAGGTTAGCGGTCACGGGATAGCAAAATGTGACATATGTGTTCATCAACAAGTGTGGTTAAGTTATGGAGGGAATACATCAAAACCCACCTTAAAAATACATCAAACCCAACTTCAAAATACATCAAAACTCACCTCCAACATAAAAAATAGAGAAATCCATCCAAACCCACCTTCAAAATCAAAAGAAGATAGTAATCTACGTCTCGTACATTCTTAATGCAATGTTAATAAGCAGCAGGAACGATATTTAAAACGTATATTCAAGATGGACAGAATAGGTCAGTGGTCATGGGATAGCGAAACGTGACATATGTGTTCATCAACAACAAGTGTAGTCAAGTTGCGGAGGGAATACGCATTAATGGTTGGGAGAGATTACTTACAGTGTGATAAAGGAGGTAGCAGTGCAATGAATGTCTGTTCTACTGCTTCACCAATCGAGCAAGGAGAAGAAGTGAGTAATGAGAGGAATGAATGAATGGGGGGTGGTACCTCTGGGTTGTTTTTGTTTTGTTGAGCTTCTATTCCAATTACAATACATTTTCACATTGCATTGATCACTATGATTACACCTCAATAAATGGAAATGAATGGTGAATGACAAGTTATCATTACAATCTACCATGTAGTTCAATCAACCGCACAACATTAAAGGTATCTGACGACGTGTGGGAAAAGCAAAATTGTCAGCGAGAGCGAGATATAACGAGATCGATAAATATGAATAGAGATGGATTGCATGATCTTGAGCACGCGCTCTAACAACGAGATCAAGATAGAGCGCAGTTGAAAGAGGTCATATCGAGAGCGAGGTAAAGTGAGATCAAGAAATATGAAATCGAGAGTGAGTTAGAGCGAGATTGAGATCGAAAAAAAAAAACAGTGCACATCATGTGGAGCAATACTGAATCCAAAAAAAAAAATCGAGATGCCTGCTGAAATCATACTATCATGAACAAATCACACAAAAAACTACATAGAAATATTATATGATTCAATGAATACAAAAATATGGCATGTTCATTCAAAGTACGATTCATCGTGCCAAAGTTGTGTGGCATACTAAATCCTAATATATGACACTCCAAACTGTACAAGAGTTTCTAAAGTATTACCAGTTACGAGATAGAAACTCTATGAATTTACATGAAAAAAATGCCACAATTTATACCACCTTTTGCCTCGTGTCGGTCGTAGGATGGTATACATGCCAAGGAGTCCTCTTCAGCTTGCAATCCGTCCCATACAATAGCCCACATGCATACAACAGCGATGGGATGGTATGACTCAATGACTGCAGGTCCACCATCAACTTCGGTATGGGAATGTGCCCTAGTAATGAGTCGTACACAAAAATATTGGACTGGTTCATATCTATGGCGACCAGGACCCAGCGATCTCTGATGTTAAGCGGGTTGTATACTACATCGACGTCCCTCTAGGCTGTAATGAATTTTTCCACCCGACCCAGCACAACCTCCATGCACTGCTTATATACGTCCCAAGTGGGGATCGTGTCTTGGAAGATCTTCCCCTTGATCAGTTTATAGGGGCCAGCTGTAGCAGTAAGAAGTTTCTGCATAATAGCAACGTCGTAGACGATTAGATTTGTCGAAACGTAAATCTTGTATGTGTATGAACTACCTATCTTACGATTTGTAGTGGGTCCATGACAATAAACTTCTGGACGCATAGGTGCGGCCGCTTACCGAGCTTCTCATGATGAAATGTTATGGTAGCAGTTTCCTGCAATCACAAGTATAACACTTATTGTTTGTGAGACGTAGTGCAGTTATGGGGCCTAAAACTATGCAATGTTGTGTATCACTTACCCCATCTTCAACCTGTTCCTTAGGATTCAGGATGTTAATGAAGAATTTCCTGGAATATCCGTTGTGCACATTCCATGTTATGGACGGGCACTTGACGTCGTCATTCCTAAGGTCCCATACCTAAAGCAACATCTCGGTAAACTTGTAGTTCGGAATGTTATGCAATGGGTTGTATTTGGGACGAAATGGCTTACCCTGGCTGGCTGGCAGGCACCGGCTCCACGTCCACCTTCTGTTTCTTCTTTTTCCAACCCGTGTCATCCAAACTGAAGGGTTTCATTTCCGTCCGCTTACGCTGCGTCCTTCTTGGTTCGGTGGAATCTGGAACCTACAGAACACAGGAACCATTTTTTACATACATAGTTAGTTAGGTTTAGAAAAATGTCTAGAATACCATACCTCAATTTTCGTGGCTGGTTGCTTCTCAGCCTTCATTCGAACAATTTTCTTGGACTCAATGGGTTCGGGTGCATTGGATTCGCTTACACCATGTGGGGCTTGTCGCGGTACCGTAAATCAGATCGTGGTCGATTTCTTGCCACGAAGGGGGTTTCTTCTATTGAGTTGGTTGTGGCACAATGACCAGCGGTTGAGGAACTTTTTCTAAGGCCAAGTTTGTAGAACCCACAGG